GGAAGTACTAGAACATATATAAAACCATATGTAGTCTTCAAGCATGGCATTTTTGCAAATGCTGATCATTGTAAAAATACGTTATAATCACAGACTAAGATGAGTTGGAAGAGACCCACAAGGATCATGGAGTCCAGCTCCTGGCCCTGCACAGGACCATCTGCAAGAGTCACACCATGTGCCCAACAGTATTGTCCAAACTTTTCTTGAACTCAGTCAGGCTGTGACCACTTCCCTGGGGAGTCTGCTCCAGTGCCCAGCCACCCTCTGGGTGAAGAACCTTTCTCCCCTGACACAACTTCAGGGTCCTGTCACTGATACCTTTTTTTTTTTTCTGTTAAGCTTCCTAGATGTACTTGAAAATGTGGGCAGTATTTTTAGGAACAAACTTCTTTCAAAATCATAACTAAGTCATTACTCATTTAGGGCTTTGGGATGCCAATTGCCATATCCCATTACTCCTGGATTTACAAATTTTAATCATATTTTTTTAATGGTATATTAATCATACATATTCAAGTATGTTATCTTAAATAATTTAAATAAGTTTTAAATTAAATGTCGATGTAAGTACCAAGGCTAAAAACCTCATTTTAAAAATATATTTATATTATATTTATAAATATATAAATATTTTGTATAAATTTATAAATCTAGTTTTGAAAATTACCTTTTATATATTTGCTGGTTTGAGATGCCTCCACTTTTTGAAAGCCACATTACAAAGTCCTGTTCCGATCCAGGAGCCTGATGTGAAACTCGAGATTTGCCATGCACAACACCCAGCACAGGTGTAGCTGAGCTCCCCCCCTGTGCCCAGGCTGGTTTTGAGGCCCTGCCCTGCCTGATGCCAGGGTGCAGCCTGGCCCTGCTTGTGACCTATGGGCTAGAGCTATTCAATCAGGTTGCCTTTGCAGATTTGCTCGTGGGTCCCAGCGGTGCAGAAGGACAGAGCAGTGCCACAGCTCTCCTTGACACAGGATAACCTTCCTTCCCTGACACACCTTCCTGCACACACAGCATGTAGCCAGACAGAAGAACAACCATGTGACAGACGGGATGAGCCAGGCTGAGCCTGAGCAGTCCTTGCTCCGGGGACAGCGGGAGCCTCAGGAGCAGTGCCTGTGGTGCCACCCGTGCACACCCAGCTTTCCTGCAGGTGAGCCCCTGGAGCCTGCACACTTCTAGCCTACAAGTCTGAGCCTGTTTTAACTCACCTGTGTGTGTGCAAGAGTATAACAGTATGGCCTCATGATCAGCCATACCATGATCCATCCAGACCCCACTGTCTCACTTTGTGTCAACCATCCAGTGGCATGCTCAGTGATAGGTTCTTGTCTCAATTTTCCTCATTAATCCATCTCCAGAAGCATTTTTACTCTAGGCTTTTGTGAGGTTTGCAGCTTTCCAGCAACTTTAGCTTTTTTGTGCACCAAGCCTTTAAATTTTTGCAAATTAAAAAAAAAATAATTTCTTATTCTTCAACTGAAGCCTGTCCCAAGTTGTTTCCAGCTCAAAAGCTGATTAGTATAATTTAACATTTAAGTTCTTCTTCTTGGGAAATACAGTATTCAAAAGATGTTCCTTAAACTGAAATGATGAACTTCCAACAATTTATGTTTTAGAAAAAGTCTCTTGCATCCAGTAGTCTTTTGAATCTCCTCTTATTGTGACTTTCTGAAAACTCAGTATAAATCCAGTAGCACATTTATATGGTATTAAATTTCTGTGGTATAAATGGCACTAAATCCGTTTCCTTTTATCCATGTAGCAAACAGAGAGGACTCCATGTCAGATAAATTAATTTATTTAAGAAATATGTGAACACCAACGTCATGCATCAGCTCAAAAAATAGTGATACGCAGTGTAGTGCCTTGCCAAGTGAAGGTGTTCTGAGAGTCTGAAACAGAGTCCAACAGGGTCCAAACATAGTGCATCTCATTTATTCAGTTTTCCAGACTGATATTTCCTTTAATTTTCTCTTTGAATCTTCATCAGTTTGAGTCTCTTCTTTCTCTGAATCCATATAACATTGTCCCAGCTTCTATATGACTTGTTTTGATTTGTTTTGTTTTGTATAGAGATGTGAGTGGGGACACCAAATTTTATCTCAATAACTTAGTCACAGCATTAAAAAAAAGGAAAGCATACCTTCATTGGATGCTTTACTTACTTTACATTTACATTTACTTACTTTACATTTACATTGGAGGCATTGCTTTACTGTAGAGTGTTACTTCACTGGAGAGTTTTCATTTTTAAACAACCGATACTTTACTTGAGTAATTCATGGAAGTATCCAGCTGCATGAGCACCCTGCTCACCTGGCCTTGTGAGTTTCTTGCTGCTATAATGTGATCAGTTTTATTTCTGAAGAGACTTCTTTGACACTTGTTTTCCCATTTTTTCCTCCAAAAAATCCCAGTATGCTAAATAACAGGAATAGAAGTCACATGCAAATGTGATGAAGGAAAAAGCACTTGATGTAAAGCAACAAGAACATTCACTCCAATTGTTTTGTTTTTGGGGGTTTTTTTTGGGATGTGCAAATAAAGAAGTGCACACTTTACAGTGAGACATGTACAGAGCTTGGCAGAGATTGTACAGCTGAAATTATACTATTCTCAGGCTATGAAGGAGAGTCCTAAACAAATCTCTTAAAAGTTCTCTTTGCACCGTTTTGTATCAACATCAGTTTCCAGGACTACGTTTAAGAAAGCTATTGTATTAACATTTTTGCCAGTATTTACTGTGATACTTAATTCTACCATATAGTCTGTTTTCCAACACATATAGTGTTTTCCAACTCTTCTTTTTTAATTATTATTATTTTCTGAGAATATAATTATTCTGGCCTCCATAAAAGGATTCCACAATTTTCCTTGTTTAATGGGAATGATGAAATGTTGGAAGTATTTGAAGCCCAAGAAGCTCCTGAAAAGATTTATAGAAGTTAATGCTATAACTGTCCAGCCCTGGAGAGTTGCCACTTGGAAGGGCCCTGCTTAGACTTTAAACTTCATTTGTCAGCATCGTGTCTTTAAAAAGTAATATTCAGCACTCCAGTTGTCTCCCCAAAACTGTTACACCACTGCATCAGTAAACCAGGGCAGACCTGCATGAGTCCAGGATGCCAGAGGAATTTGTCACTCAGATGTTCCAAAGAACAATGATAACCTCCCATGCTATGAGCATCTTCTGTCACTCCCTTGCTGTGTGTTACTGGCATGAGGCAGTCAGTGAGCAAGGGCTTTGTTGTTCCTTTATTCCCCAATAATACTGGCTACTAAAATAGCCTTTTTGAGACTGCTGGCATCTACACTAGCCTTTAAACTCTTTGCTATACTCCAGCCCCAACAGGGTTCCACAACCAGGAGAAAGTAAAGTTGGACTAAAGCAAATTTTGCGTAGCCTGGGTGCCGCACTGGGCACTCCCTTCACCATTCCGATGCTCTGAGCTTGCTTTTGTGCTGGAAAGTTTATGTAGAAAGAGCAAGAATGTATTTTTACATAGTGAGTTTGTATTATTTTCTTTTTACCCCAGTTGTGAGCCTAGTGGACACAGCATCTGTTAAATACTGTCATTTATTACACATAGCCTATAGTATTTTTGCTGTAAGCTGCAGGTCGCTGGGTGAATTAAGAGGTTACTAATTTTCTTCCTGTAAAGAGACAACTGAATTTCTTCAGCTGAAAAGCACTACTGGTCAGCTGTCACTGGAGCAACATACTGCTTTTTAAGAAATCCTTGGCTAATGTACTCATCTGTTTTGTGAGGAAAAACATCTGCATGTTTTGCCATGCACAAAGCCTTACGCTCAATGACACATAACTTGATGTATAACTTTCTAGTACGCTTAGAAGGGCTTCTAAGACAACCAGCCTTTGACTTTGGCAGCATAAGCCATCTACTCTAGACTGATGCATGGTCTAAAATAAATCATATCTGTGTCACAAGCTAAATATCTGGAGTCTGTTTCTCTCTTAGTAAAAACAAAATCTATTCTAGATGTGAATTGCTAAGTTTTTAGCAGCAAGTAAAAGCTGTAACCACTCTTAATTTAACTGCCTCTGGGTATTGACCAAATCATTTTACATAAAGAAAGAAATGAATGCCTTACTTACTTGTAAGCTGAGATTTCTCTCATTTGAATTCTTAATACAGCATTTTAGACCTTCCCTAAAAAATACTGATGGAATAAAATCTTGATCCCAGTTAATGTAACGGCAATCCTCCTACTGATATTTCGGGAGCAGAGACTTAACTCATAGCCTGAAAGCTGATAGTGACTTTAACTGCCTGGGCTGAAACCTGAGATCCAGAAGGAAGGGCACACATTAAATAGATAATTAGTTTATTGCTAGCCTGCATGCCAACAAGCAAGTAATAATGCATGTTTGTATCATTTCCAATGACACAAGGAACACAACTACTACCTACAAGTAATACAAGATGCAGCAAATATTTGTCCCACCCAATTGTTTCTATCTTCAGAAAGATAGCCTGTATTCTGAAATATTTCATTGACTTGCTTAACCAAGATCATAGTCACTGTTTTTAAGAAAAATAATTCCTTAGATTATACCAGCAGATAGTGCCCTTCATATTTAATGTGCAGAATTTTAACCCACACAAAAACAAGTAGGAGTTTTCATTTTGTTTACTATATACACACACACTACTTAAAAAGAATTGCCTGAATTAGTGAATACTTGCAGATTACTCCTTGAGTGCAAATTATATAATTGATCAGTTACCAGCTAATAATTAAATGAAAGACAAACCAAGATATTTCTGAACAGTTTTAAAATCAACTGTAAATATATTGGGAGACATTCCACTATATTTTTGAATATTACATGTGTCCTTCTGATGGTATGGTCTTTCAAAGCAGCAAGGAAACAAATAATTTCAGGAGTTTTCCCAGATTCCCAAGTGCAATAAGCAACAAAAAAAGTAGATAGCCAGACACCTACAAGCGCTTAGAGATGAAATTACCTGCAGAGAACTTCAAGGGGAGAGCCTGTGTTGTAGGAAGGCAGAGCTTGGACGCAGCACAGCCAGGCAAGTCGTGTGCATCTGATTTGCCAGCTCAGTGTCCTGCTAAATGAGGTTGTTAAGAAGGAGAGTTCAATTTTAGAAGCAGGGACTCCTCTTGTGCTGATGTGCAGCATGCGGTACACGAAGCAGGGCAGTCACAGGAATGTTTCCAGGGTCCATTAGTTTCTTCACCAGACGAGCTTGGCAAAAGGAGCTCACAAACACACAAAACAGAGGCATTGCCTTGTTGTAGAGAAGATCTCTGCTCTGAAGCTAAGAAAAGTGAAGTCTTCGGGGATATTTCCATCCAGAAAGCAGGGTCCAAGGAAGAGTTAGGCCTGTAGATCTTTCCGGTGAGACATCAGCTCATCTCACATTAACATTTTTCTCCCCAAGTGCTCTGTTCCTATGAATAAGTCATATTTTACTTGGGAGAAGCCTTTCTCAGTCACTGCTCTTACCTCCAGGGCCCGGCTGATGAAGAACAGTCTCTGGCAGACATCAGATCCAGTCAGACCTGCTGCAGAATGGTGGCTGAGTGCCAGAGGAGCCAGGGCCAGGGGTGGGAGAATGCTGTGTCTTCACCAGGAGAGGGAAAGAAGGAAGGATGGAAGGTAAAGGGTGTGGGACAGGCTGGCAAGGCATCGCAGGGGTGGTTTATCTCTCACTGGTATAGAAATAGCTGACTTTGTGTGCTGTGCTCCTCTCACACCAGGATAAGCAGGCAGTGGTCATCCTGAAAGAAAAAAAGAAGAAAAATGTCCAGATAGATGAGCTGCACCAGAACAATTAACAATTCTGTTATAAATATACACTAGTCCTCAGCTGATAACCATAATAAAAAGGATAGTGAGTGTTTAGATAACCTTGGTCTCTTTCTTCAACATTACACTATACATGAGGTTTTCACAGAAAGAAGCTTTTCAAGTAGATCAACACTTCCTTGTTTAATCTCAATATTAAAATTAGCTATAAGAATTTGAGTTATGTCAAAACTTCCTCCAGCCTTGAATGAAAATGGAAAATGAAGTTTTACTGCTATTAGAACATCACAAGGAAAATGTCAGCCAAAGATGTTCAAAGATCTGTGGTCAAGGAAGATGTTTAAAAGGCAAGTCCCAGTAGGTGCTTTAATTAATGTCATGTCTTGACCCGTGGAAGGTAATAGTAAGATTGCCATTTGCTTGAGTGAAAAATATATTCCTCAATTTGCCATACAATTTCCTGGTCTAGGGATGGACCAAGATTTATGGGCTAAAGTTATTCAGTCTGGTTGCCTTAGCAGATTTGCATTCAGTAGGTCTTGTCCTGTTGCAGCAACTTTTCCTAAAGTGGCTTTACTGGGGGAAGCCACTTTAGGAAACTTCCGAATCTCCTACACCTCCTACTCCTCTCCTTACCTGCCACTATTCACTCCTCTCACCTCTTCACAGCTTCACAGCACATATTCCCACATCTGTTCCCTGCAAAGACCCTTTCAAATAAATCTGGCATGTATTCAGCCCTGAATGCAAAGGCAGACCATTTGTTATTTGTTCGCACTGGACAAAACATTTTATCTGAAATTACAAGTTTTCAAAAAACAAAAAACCAACAAATTTCCCCTGTAGCTACAGGAAACCGTCTCTGCACTTGCTTGTCTTCTCCAGGTCTGGAAGCTGATAAGCTAACCTTTCTGCTTTCAGAATCTACCATAACATGCATATGTGCTTTTCTGTTCACTTCCAAATGATCTCACTGTTTTCTTTCCACCTCATAATTAACCAGCAACTTCTAATCATTGTCTTTCTCTGAGCACACAAACACAGTAAATCAGTGGTTTAATGTCACAATGGAGCCTGCTGAAAGGATTACATAGAAAACAACTTATGCTGTGTTGCTTTTTACTTTAATTTTCCAATAACTTCCTCTTAAAGAAGATCTTATGTCCCTTGGTGTTCTGACACAAGCACACATAATGATGTATTACTATCTTTAGACTATTGTGGCTCAGCTACATGTTGCTTTAATGACACATGCGTAATTGCTCTCAGTCAGATCACCAACCACTGCACTCCCAGAATTACTGCAAAGTCAATAGTTACTCACTTGAAACTGGAGAAGCAAAGTACATGCTCTGGGTATCAGGGATGGTGTGAATATAGGTATAGTTGAACGTAGGTCTTTGGGGCCGGGCAAGAGAGCACCGGGTGGGATTCTGTTTGGGCAACACACACAGAGTGCATTGATTTTCTAACTGGAAAAGAGTCTAAGATTGTGAACTAAGCTGTAAAAGAAAGAAAAAAGCTTTTAAATATCCTTTACAATATTTAATTTACTCAAACAAATCAGTTAAATGGTATCATAGAGGCAAAATATCACCTTCATATTTAAGGAAGGTGAGATTCTCCAGCTTGCATTACAATAACGTTTGTGATTTCAAATGAATAGCTGGAGTCATAGGAAAAAAATGTGTCAGACAGAATTTATAGAATGTAAAGCAGATAAGACCTTTACGTTAGCTTTTAAGTAGAAACATGTGATTCCAGCAGTACTGTTGATGTTAACACAGTCAAGGTTATGAACAAAGGGTAGAATGAGTAAAATGGGTTTATGGTGTGAATCACACCACTGAGTTCACATTAGAAGGAAGCAGAGATGATATATTTATTATCATAATGTGCACTTCATGACTCACCCAAACTCAAAAAAATAATGTGAATTATTAGGCAATGAAGATAGGTGTTAAGGAGGGAGGGACAATGGAAAATATTATTAAGCTTATAAAAACAACTTGACCTATTCATTAATTTGAAGCTAATATGTTGCTCTTCCAATTATCCTAAAAATAAACAGAGGGAGTTTTTTTTTCTGTGTGAAGGACAATTCCAGCAATTTGGATGACAGTCAAATATGTTTGAATGACAGGCTGCATAAAATGATTTAAGGCTTTATTTGGCACATACTTTTCATGTGAATCAGTATGCTTATTTTTATTATGATTCCTCACCTTCATGCTTGTAAGGCTATAAATCCCGTCTTTATAGTTCAGAAACTTGATGAAGAGTGGCAGCTGTAACATCTAAAGCATCAAGCCTAACTCATAGTGTAGAAGTTTTTTTCTACCAGATTATTCTGAATATTATAGTTTTTGCTGATGGGGATTTTTTTAAAAACTTTATTTTATGTATAACTTACAAATTGCCATCTTAAAAAGGTCAAATGCTTGAAAGCCATGCAACAGTACATAGTTTATTGGTACTTCCAGCTCTAAATATTTCTTGGGTTTTTTTCTGTTTAGAGCTGGAATTGTGGTTTTCACCATCTTCCTATTTCAAATCCCCACTGTCTGCCACCAGTCTACATGGGGTAGGACTACTGAAGATCTTTCTGGCCAAATGTAAGTATCCCAAATAGGACTTTCAGTTGTTGAGCTGGTTATCTGTGTTTCCCTTCTAATCAAAGGAGAGAAAGATCTTACAAAGTTCAAGTAGTTTCATCCAAAGGTAGGCATTCAAAAAGCCTGAGATAAATCATGTCTCCAAGCACCTATTTCTTTCTTCTGTAAGGAAGAACCATGGGAAGCTGGCTCAGGGATTCCTGTCTGAAGCCAGGAGAGATGAGTTCCACAAAGTAAGTCTGATCTGAGACTGAGTAAGTGGGCAAAAAGAACAGAGGGAGGGCACAGTAAAGACATCTCATGGTTACAGGGCATGGCTATGCAATATGTATGAATTTGACAGGTCAAATTCAGTTTCTTCCAACATTTAAAAAACCAGGATAAAAATAGTGTGAGAGAGACTGTCAGAAAGAAGGGAACTGATAGAAACCCACATATGGAAATGCAGAGGAGGAGATATATGGAAGGTAGGCTGGGAAAAGAGGTGATGGGATACAGAAAATGTAAGGGAAGATCTTATTGGGTTGCCATCATACAGGGGCTGATAGTTTCATTGGGTCTTGTCACCCCAGTCACTTCAACAGACCTGCACCAACACAGCTGAAGGAATCACATAGCTAAGTATGGAGAAAGTAAGGTTGAATGGATCTGTGCAGACAAGATCAGAGTTTCTCTGAACCAGAATTACATCTCTGTCTGTTCTCATTTCTCAGTTGCACATCGCAGCTTACTCAGGGAGCCTGGGAATGGTACAACTGAAGGTCCCAGGACTAGTGATGTAAGAAATCTTTTTGATTTCTTCATAACCAAGAGAAACCAGAAACCACTCCTAAATACAGAAACACAGTTTTGGGAGATTTCTGAACCAGTAACACCATGATGCCTATCTTGGGAACGTTTTTATCACTAGCTTGGAGATTGTTTACCATAAGGCTTCAGAATGGCTTTTCAGGGCACTTCTTTTTCTTGCACTTAGCTTTGACAATAGGCAGAACGGAATAAAAATGTGGTGACTTGGCTTTTTCAAAATAGGTTTGGTGTTGGTTATTGGCATGGGATTAAATATCTTTGTGCAGCAGCACTCATATTGATGTCCATAAGCAAGAAGCAAGAACGTGTTAAGTCATAGCTGCCATATCCTTTGGAAATGATGAGTTTGTTTATACTTATGCAGTCTTAAATTGAGAAGCTTAGAAATCTCCATCTTGCTCATGAATTCAACAGACCACAATTGCTTTTCCAATCCAGATATAATTTGGATTAAATCATCTGGATAACACAGAAATTTACCACATAAAAAAGAGCCTGGCTGTATTCTGCAACACTAATCACACAGAGCAACACCATGTCATTATAACACTTTGCTACATTTTCAAGGATCAGTGTTTGCAAGAGTAATCACAGGAGAATAGGGACAAGAATAAATGTAATTTTTCATAAGCAACAATCTGGAATCTTTTTATCTAAAAAATCTTACCTGGACAGTATGAAAAATCACTATCCTGGGATATTAGGCATAAATATATGAAAACTGAATTTATTTTATGAACATTAAACTCTTCTATGCATTTCAGTTTTAAAAAAAAATTAATTGAAAACAGAAATGGCAACACTTTAGGTAATGAGAGGAAAGGAATCCATTATACATAAAGTTTCACCTAGAGATCTAATTAGCATAAACTACTGATGAACTCAGCTGAAAATCTTTTATAAATGGTTGTTTTCTTCATTTAATATCACATTAATTAATTAATTAATTAATTATTAATATGTTTCTATCGTGGACTGACTTCTGTTCACTAAAGTAAAAATAATTAATAATTCCAGAGAAATATATATTAATTAGTCAGATTAACAAACAGTAGAGAACAGACAAAATTACCTTCTATGCTTCTTTTAGGAAAATAATAATACTACTCAGCAGCATTACCAGGAATGACAATTACTCTGCTGACTCTCTGGCTTGAGAGCTAAGGGACTGGTTTTAATCCTGGGCTAAATGTCCCAGACATCACATGTAATCTTCTGGAAATCTTTGCAAAAGTGGCATTTCATTTCTAATTCCTTGATTTCTGAGTAGTTGGCTTGAATTTCAGACTTGCTAGGTGCATACAGATCCTGTTGACTATAATCAAAGTGCATAGCAGTCTAAAAAATGAGCTTTCAAGGTGTGTGTTAATTTGGTTAATCAGAAGTTAAACAACTCAAAGAAAATTATTTCTTAGAAATGTGGGCTCAGTGATGCTGCCTCCATTTCTTCTTTTGCAAAATGGACATTATATTTTCCATTAATTGCTTAACAAGAGGCTTGTCATAAAATGACTTCATCCTATATATTTTAATGTGAAAATATCAAATAAAAGCATGGCAGAGGAGTGATTTACAAACATTTTAGATAGGCAATTGCACACTGATTGCTGCATATGGAGACTTACTCCTTCCAGATTTTAGTAATAAAAACAAAGTATGTATGAAAAATTACAGTAGGGCTCTTCTAAATCATTTATCCACAGTGTTTGAATACTGTTTCCCATAAAGGAGCAGCAAATTGTCAGTCTTGTGACTACAATACTGAGGAAGGTGAAAGATAGCATCTTTGGAATGAAATTGGAGAAATATGACTCATCCTTTTTGTCGCTTGCCAAGCTTACCTTGACATTTATTTCTTTGCTGGAGTGCAGAACTTGTTTACATAAGTTTCCCCCATGCAAATGCATCTGGATTTCCTCTGAACTGTCATCATCCTGCAGGGATATTCAGTCTACCACCTCATGGAATTTTCTTTTCTAATGACACTAAGTTAAATGGTACTGTGGGCCTGAATGTTGCCAGCATTCATGGCAGCCTTGTATTTTGAAAACTTCATACTCCAGTGGGAGCTCTGCAACCTCACACTGACATTAGAAGATGAAATCAAAACTTAGATGTGAACTGGTTCAGACCTATCTGCAGGATGTTCTCAAATGACAAAACACTGCTGAACTACTGAAAAAAATTGTGATTGTTTAATGTGGTATATAGGGTTTTATTATTTAGGTCATGTCAGTATGAGAAGGGCTGAAACCATGTATCCTGATCCATTTCAATTCAAAGCAAAATGCATTTGTTTAAGAAAATCACTAGATTTTCTCTGTACAAAAAATACATACACAGTTAGGGATCACCTCTTTGGAGAAGAAGAGTAATTTTCTTAATTTCTCTTTTACTGCAGTTCATGTGACGATACAACCAAATCAAAACTTGGTTCAGATTAATATGATAATGTACTGGTACAAGCATAACCAGCTTTAGCATTGTTTATGCCTTCTGAACACGTGTTCATGAGGGGTTTATATTTCTAACCAGGCAAGCATCTTAAATGTAGGTAGATTTGTGCAGATTTATGGTCCAGACAAACTACCCTGGTACCATACAGATCAAGGCAATTCTGTTCACCTTCACAGGCATTGTTGTGCAGTCACAAAGCAGTCACTATCACAATACTAAGGAAGCATGTCCATAGTCTAGAGGATATGGATCTCCAAAATGCATTCCATTTAGATATCTTCCTGTATTCACAGGTATGCTTTTTACTTTTTTGCCAAGTACTTTTGTCTTGTGATCACATTGACAAACCAAACCCTTTTAGATTATTGCACATTATCGAAAAAATAAAATAGGTAATATTTCTCTCATTTAAACAGATCACAATTCTCATGGCAGAAACATCTAGGCATTAAGCAATATACATAATAACCTTTTTGCTATGTTATGATGACATCAGAAAAGTAACCCAATTTTTTCCACAGCCTCTGTATTACTTAGCAAAACTATTGACTCCTACCTATTTCACACTAATGAAATGAAAGAGGCAAAAAAGTAAGAACTGTATTGTTGCATGAGAGATC